GTTAACCACTGGCAAAGCAATTGGTAAAACTGTGACCAGCAATATTTAAGTACCAGCTGAGCTTTAAGGGAAGAGGTTGGGAAACTGTTTATAGTGGATGCTGAGTGTTATTGACTGCATTTGGCAAGGTGTTATAGGAAAAAATGGATCCGTTTATAAAAAGTAATGGAAGTCAGAGTGTAAAAACGCAAGGTAATGAATGAATGAAAAATCTGACAGCTTCTAGATCCCAAATGTAGAATAAACAGGCTTATTAAAATCAGATTAAGAATGCTCTTTTCCCATCCAACTCCACCATTTTTTTGAGAGAAAGGCATGGGTGTGAAAAAGTGAAGATATGAAGCACTTTTGAGACCTATGTGTAGGACAAAATAGATGTAGTGATTGGCATATGGGACTGTCAGCAAATGTATCAGAAGCCTACTACATTTTTGAGGAAATCTATTGTCAAAGAAACCCAGAGCCTAACCCCCCTCCAAAAATAAACCCTTGACTCTTGAATGTACCTTAAAACAACCCCTGGGCAGGAAACCGACTGCAAGAATTTGCCAGTCCCCGAGATGTTCTAGCCAGTGGAATGGGGGCAGAAGTGATGTAGGCTACTTCAGGACTGGCCCATAAAACTTTCCCATGCCCGATCCTCCATTCTTTAGTCCTTTCCATGCTGACTTTGAGGTGGCATGCTGTATGTGGCGGTGGCACCAGATAACACCCATCCCAAATGTGGTTAAGGGGAAAGACAAGGCAGAGCTGAATCACAGAGAGCAATGAATGAGAATTGTTCCCAGAGAACAAAAGCTGCTAGTGCTCTACAGTGTCCTTTTATTGCCTCTCCTTCCTGAGATGGCTGAATTAACTTTGCAGACCTTGGCAATTAGGTTGGGGTCTTATGTCAGAGTTCTAGTCAATGGAATAAAGGAGCAAGTGAGGGAAGCCATTTATAAAACCCATAAAAGCCCATAAAAACCTCCCATCCTTGGAAGTTAATGTTGGAGATGGCAGCATCACACGATGGAACAACTCCGTGGAATACGGCCCCTCCTGGCAACCCTCCCCCCCGCCCAAACCATTCTGGACAGGGACCTCAGCAAACAGTAACTTTCATTTTCTTAAGCAATTAGCCTTTTGGGGTTGTTACAGCAGCTATCTTGCCCTCACTAGTAATACCCTCTTTTGTATTAAAATCTCCCTCTGCCTCTGTCTTGTAAGACATTTGTGATTACATCTGGGGCCACCTGAATAATCCAGGATACTCTTCCTCATTTCAAGATCCTTAATTGCATCACCTCTGCAAAGTTCCTTTTGCTTTGTAAAGTAACATTCACAGGGTTGAGAGGATTAGAACACAGATATCTTTGGGAGCTATTGCTCAGCCTACCACATGTATTGTACATATTTAACTTTAATATCTTCACCTCCTGGGGTGTTTTTCCTGAAATACATCTTTTAAAACTTCCTTTATTGTAGATCTCTTGTTGGTAAACTTCCTCACTTGCATCTGTAAATGGTACTTTTTAAAACTTCATTTGTGAGTTTTTTTGGACCACAATAGGTTGACCATTATTCTTAACATTTTGAAGATGTTTTTCCACTGGCTTCTAGCTTCCATTGTTGCCGTTTGAGAATCTGTTGTTATTTTAATGATTTAGTTATCATTCCTTTATGTTAAAGGGACAAATGGTATTTTGTGGTTTGTGGTCTCTGGTGCGACCACTCAGCTCGCCACTGCCAGCCAGAGCAGCCACGCGCCATGTCGTGAGCGGGCAGGGCTGTGCGCTGGCATTTTAGTTACAAAACAGTTCGCCAGCCCCTGCTTAGCAGTGATCTGTGCCTTCCCTCTGACTGCCTTTTCAGATCTCTGCTTTTGGTGGTTTGCAGTTTTAGTATATGTCTAGGGGTGAATTGCCCTTTATCCTGTTTATGCTTCCAGGATCTGTCTTCTTTTTAGTCAATTCTGGAAAAAATATCAGCCATTATATTTCCAAATATTTCCTCTTACATTCTTTCTGGGACTCTTGTTTTTCTAGACCTTTGCATTCTATCCTTCATCATTAAGTCTCTTTTTAGCTATCTGCCTACCCTGACCATTGTGGCTTTTGATTTTAGGAATTCTTTTTTTTTTTTTAAGATTTTATTGGGGAATTGTGGGAGGGAACAGCGTTGGAGAATCGGGGAAGGGCAACAGACAAGTTGCTGCCCTTTTTTGTTCAGTCTATTTGTGGAGGACGTCGCTTCACTGGCCCATGTAGGTATTATCATTGCGCTCTTCCCAGGTGAGGCAGATGGGTCGCCAGCCACTGGAATGCCGCTTATGCCGCTCACGCCAGCTGCCAGCCGCCCACGGCGGCTTATGGAAGCCCACGACAGCCTACGCGGTCGCCAGTGACTCACGGCAGCCCAGCTCCAGGTTGAGCTGTTGTTCACCATCTTAGCTGTAGAGGGTGCAGCGTCACTGGCCCACATGTGGGATCTGAACCAGGGCCCTGCTGCTCAGAGCTGGCGCTCCCAAGCCAACTCTTAACCAATGAGCCACTCGGCCGGCCCTGATTTTAGGAATTCTATTTCTCATTTTAAAAAGTTGCCTTGAATTTGTTCTTTCCAAATAATATCTTCTTGTGTATGCTTTATTTTATGATTATGTTGATTGTTCAAACATTTCCAACAATCTGTAATCTAAATAGAACAGTTCTACTACTTATATTCCTTTGGTGTCCAGTCTGTTGTTTTTTCTGTCCTTCTTGATTATAGTTTTACTTCTTGGTGATCAATGGTCTGGATGCTTTTAATGTTAATTTTTCCATGTTAATGTTACTCACACAGATAATACAAATCCTACAACAGAGTGTAGCACAGATTAGGTATTTTATTTCTCACAGATTGTTAATTTTTCTTTCCATTCGAGGTCCAAAGTTAATTTTTTGCTGCCTTCCTTGGGCTAAATGATATAGTTTTACAGGCATCTGTTTAAAAAACTTAACAGCTCTGTTTAATGCTGAAGGAGCTATATTTGCAGCTCTCTTGCGTAAGGCTCCTGGCCACAGTTCCCATTGATCACCAGGGCATTAGCATCCACTTTTCACACTAGTATTCTTTCCTTTGTGTGTAATAATGTGGTATTTCCCTGTCTTTGGCCACTGTTTTAGTTTGTTAGGGCTACCATGACAAAATACCACAGGCTGGGTGGCTTAAACAAGAAATTTATTTTCTTACAGTTCTGGAGGCTGAAAGTCCAAGATTAAGGTGTTGCCAAGTTCAGTTTCTCCTGAGGCCTCTCCTTGGCTGGCAGATAGCTTCCTGTGTCACATGGTCTTTCCTCTGTGTGCAAGTAACCCTGGTGGGTCCCTTTATATACTAGTCTCCTTTTCTTATAAAGACACCAGTCAGGCTGGATCACGGCCCACCCTAAGAGCCTCATTTTAACTTAACTATCCCTTTAAAGTCTCTGTCTCCTGTACAGTCACATTCTGAGCTACTGGGGATCAGGGCTTCCACACAGGAGTTTGGGGGGTTCACAATTCAGTCCATAACAGTTATAATATGTGAAGTTTTGGGTGCCTTTTATGTAGCATTTCTATGTTTTTATTTTCCTATGTTGATAAAAGTCCTCTATGCTAATTTTAAAGTGTTTCAAATATTTACTGAAAAGTATTCAAGACTCCATTCCCCAAAATTATGAGTAAAAGCTCACAATAACATTATAAGATATATATATATATATATATATATATATATTTTTTTTTTTTCTCCTTTCCTTCCTGGGATACAAGAGGTTATTGAAGATTTCAGATGGCAGTATTTCTGGGAAGGAGAATCCATTTACAGATGTCACATTCAACTAAATACTAATTTTGACCTTTTTGCTGCTGAAAGAAGCATAAGAAAATGGATAGAAAGCTTTTGAATTCAGATCTGTGTGTGAATGCTGCCGTACTGGCTTTACCCTTTATTTCTGTGCTTCTTTTAACAAGTTATTTAACCTTTCTGAACATCAAAGATAGTTCTGTCGATTGTTCTAAGGGTTAAATGACAATGCTATTTAAAGCAATAATTGTAAAATTTTGGCAGGTTTAAGAAATACTGGCTAGTACATTTTTAAAAATAAAGTTTTTATGTCTGTTCAGAAGATTCCACATGTCTATGGTAGGGTTTAAGAATTTATAATCTTTGGGCCAGCCGAGTGGCGCATTTGTTAAGAGCTGGCTTGGGACGCCAGAGGGCCCCGGTTCGGATCCCACATATGAGGGCCAGTGACACTGCCCTCCACAGCTA